GCGAACAAAGAGAAACACCCACAGCCGCAGGCTCCAACATCGCTGCCAGATCTGATCTCCATCGCCGGAACTACTGAACCGAACCGGAACTACTCTCTCGTGGCTTCGATCTCTTGACAACCCTCCACCGCCGGTCGCCTTCCTCGACTGGAGCTCACGGCCGAGCTCTACCGCTGGTTCGTTTTCTCCTCGCAAGACTTGTCTTCCACAAATCCTTTCTTCTTTTGTTCTTCTGATTCTGATATATCATATATATATATATTATATTTCAAAAAAAAAAAAAATCTGTTTGGCCACAAGTGTACTCCTATTCCAATTCTGGATTAGTTCAAAACTAAACTAGTTTTTTGTAACCTCATTTGAAAACTGGTTCTGTGATAAACCAGTTCCAAAAAAAAAAAAATGTGTGAAAAAAATATTGAATTATTTAGAGCAGACAAGTCTACCTACAAATGCACTCATTGCAACCAGACTAGTCATACCAAAAGTCGCTGTTTCAAACTTGTGGGATATCCGAAATGGTGGGATCTTCACCGTTGGAAGAAGAATTCAACAAAGACCTCCACTGCAGCAGTTGTTAAGACAACCGATAGTAGTGGTAAGAATTTCAATATTTCTACACATGTTGCTAATAGTGCATGGATAATTGATTCTGGTGCTACAGGAAATGATCCTGAAGAAATGAAGGCTCTCAAGAAGTACTTGTCCAGAGAATTCGAAATGAAAGATCTAGGTTTTTTGAGATATTTTCTTGGGATTGAAGTATCTCGATCAAATAAATGAATCTTTCTATCTTAAAGAAAATATGCCTTAGATCTATTACAAGAGATTGACATGACAGCATGTCAACCAGCTGAGACACCAATGGAAGAAGGACTGAAGTTATATGTTGAGTCCAATCAAGTACCTCCTAATAAAGGAAGATACCAAAGACTTGTAGGGAGATTGATGTACTTAGTTATATTTGGCTTATGCATTGAGCATTGTTATCCAGTTTATGCATGATCCTAGAGAGCAACATATGAATGCAGTTATGCGCATTCTAAGGTTTGAAATCTGTTCCTGGAAAAGGAATTTTGTTCACTAAAAATGTTGGTTGTCAAAACATAGATGCATATACTGATGCTGACTGGGCTGGAGCTATAGATGATAGGCGATCTACTTCTGGTTACTTCACTTTTGTGGGAGGTAATCTTGTTACATGGAGAAGCAAGAAACAACATGTTGTTGCTCGCTCGAGTGCAGAAGCTGAATTCAGAGGTATGGCACTTGGACTTTGTGAAACTTTGTGGTTAAGACTTCTCTTGCGGGATTTGGGTTATCTACCTGGGCAACCGATTCAATTATATTGTGACAATAAAGCAGCATGTGATATTGCCTATAATCCAGTTCAACATGATCGTACAAAGCATGTCGAAATAGACAGATTCTTCATTAAGGAGAAGTTGGATGGAAAAATTGTGGAGTTGCTTAAAATTCGATTTGAGGATCAACTAGCCGACATTCTCACCAAAGCAGTCTCAAATCAAGTGTTTTCAAAATTTTTAGACAAGTTGGGCATGTGTGACATCTATGCACCAACTTGAGGGGGAGTGTTGAGATTTTACCTATTGTACAGCTATAGGATTGAATTATTTTCTCACTGATTTAGGGCTAATTGGTAGGTAATTAGTTTCCCGATTATTGTATATTTAGTTACCTATTTTAGCTAGATATTACTCTATAAATTGAATGTAATACCATCATGAATAATATCGAATAAGAATTTTGAAGTCTCATACTCGTTCTCTGAATTTCAAGACTAAAGTTTGAAAAAGGTTTTTGACCTTATTTATAGTGGTAAAATTTTTACTAACTTTCCCTTTCTTTCCTTATCTCATTAAACCCTTCTTCTATTATGAAAAGGATTCCGCTTGGACTCGATGGTCTGCTTGTCTTAAATATTTTCCTTTACTTAGGCTATGTTTGGAATCAAAGTTTTGGAATTTGGATTTAAAATTGGAAAAAGAATTAGATTGGAATTAAAATGAAATTTCATTAGGTTGGAATAAACTGGAATTCAAACTAAATGAATTACTTTCTTATGTTTGGATGCAAAAAGAATTGGAATGGAAATATTATTTTTTACCAATTTATCCTTATAGAGAGGTGTGTATATACATACTATATTTACATTAATTTAAGTAAAGCTATGTTTGTAGGACATATATTGGTACTTAAACCAAAATTTTTATTTGTAATAATTTTGGCGACTTAAACCACATATTTGAAATAATATTTTAATATACCTTTTTACTTTTAAATTTTTTTTATTATTAGTATAAATATACATAAATATATACATAAAAATATACAAACAATAATATGTAAAATTAGATGGTGTTTTGTTACCATTTTTTTTTTCTTCTTAAAAAAAGAGTGAAATAAGTTAATTTGGTCAAATTTTCTAAAACATCATGCTCAAACATTATTTGAGTTTTAATCAATCCTAATAACAAATAAAATATCTAAATGAATCTCCAAATGAACTAAAGTACTTTATTTTAATAGAAATATTATTTAAATATGTTTTTCTTATTAAAGAGATCAGAATTGATGTATAGAATAGAAAAAGCTTACAGTTTGGCCTGGTCTTGCGTATTGGAAGACAAAGAAGGAAAGACAATGGAATGGAAGGACATAATTCATACAAATATTCACTTTACAGAGAAAGTGATACCTCAAAAGAGGAGGATATTTTGGTAAAATTAAGATACTTCCGAAAAATTGTTACTTACTTCATCACAAAATGAAATTTTGCCAAATTTTCTCAAATTTGTTACAATTACGATATTTCCTATCAAATTTCATGAAATCCAATTCTTGTTAGAATTTCTTCCTTTCCAAACAACATAAATTCCATTCTAAAATTAAGTCCCGTGGAATCTTATGATTCTAAACACAGAATGATGACTTAACACAGTTCAAATGAGGGTATTTTTTCTTAAATACCAAAATTACCCCTAAAAGGTTTGTATTCTAAAATATAATTATATAATTAGGAATGCATTAAAAGCTTAACGGAGGTCAATTCGAAGTATGGAATCTTCAAGTACTAATCAATAGTCCAATTCATGTTAATTTTTTTAATTTGAGGTTGAATTCAAGCTTGCAAGAGCTTTCAACTCAAATATATATGGCTTCAGTTGGTCCGTCATGGTAACCGAATTTGGTTACTTTTTAACCCGAATTGATTGGCTGATTAAATTTTAAATGAAACAAGTGTGAGCTAAGAGGAGTAATCTCTAATTATATATATATATATATATATATATATATATATATATATTTTGTCGTTAAGTTAAAATTATGAAACTTAAATTACGAAACTTTAGTAACTTTTAAAATCTTTGAAAAATGTTGGATGTAATACTTTACTTATCTAATCATATCCCCACATTGGTATCTTAAATTCCAAAGATTAAAAAAAGAGAGTCTAAATCCTTTTATTTCTTTACTTTTAAAAGGATTTGAAGCTTAAATCTTAATAATAGTTGAAGCTGTTAAGGCTATATGAACAAAATTGAGATAAAATATGGCTAGATAAACTATGTACAAGGAACAAAAGCACCGAGAGACTATTAATAACAGGGGAAAAAGAATTGTACAAGGAAAGTAAACAACAAGAGACTATTATTTAAATTGACATATATATATATAATAGTTGAAGCTGTTAAGGCTATATGAACAAAATTGAGATAAAATAAGGCTAGATAAACTATGTACAAGGAACAAAAGCACCGAGAGACTATTAATAACAGGGGAAAAAGAATTGTACAAGGAAAATAAACAACAAGAGACTATTATTTAAATTGACATATATATATATATATATAATTTTATGGGGAAAATAACTGAGAAGATCAAAAAATGATCTGAAACAAGCTTGAGAAAAGAAAAAAGAAAAAGGGAAATCGGGAATGGTTTGGTTAACACACATCAAACTTGCCTAATTATTTGCAAGCTTCTCATGGATTAGGCCCTTCTCCAATAAGCCCATGAGATAGCTTAGGCCAGATCATAGGGTCTGTTTGGTAATTGTAATTTTATTTTATTTTGTGAAAATCAGGTCAAATGTACAAAATATGTTTAGTTAACTATTTTTGAAAATTGTTTTCCGAAAAAAAAAAAGAGATTATTTTTAAAAAGACAACAAATTAGTATTTTCTGACATTTTTTTAGAACTGTTTATAAAAGAATTGAACCAAAAATGTCCTTTATGTTGGACACCATTGGAGGATTTTACTTAAATATTAGTGCAATATATATACGTATATATATATATATATATATATATATATATATATAATATGTATTTAATCAATTTATATACTTTATGTGTGGGTGGTCTATGTTTCTTATATATTTTAAACTCAAGTTGGTTCCATCAAACATTCCTAAGCAGTTGTAAATCGGAAAGTTAGTCTAGGCAGACCAAAATAGCAAGAAAAGAAAGAAAGTATAAATTTTTTATAATAGGAATATTTTCTTAGATGATATTTATTTTAGAAAGGTTACAATTTGTAGGAAAAGGAAAATTTTCAGCAAAATTTATTTGTAATAAACCAGTTTGAATGGATTCTATATGACTTGTTTTTGACTACTAGATTTTCCAACACCTAATTTTTTGAATTTACAATAATGTCATTTCTATTAAGGTAAGTGGTTCCTTGCAGTGTGTGCAAGGCTGCAAGCTGTTGTTCAAATTGGGCTAAGCTTCTGCTTCATGTAATGGGCTAAAGCCCCCTTTTTTTACTTCGGCCCAGTTAAATATGATATGATCAATTATTACAAGTGTCATTCCTTTCCTTTCTTTTCTCCCTCCAACCAAACACAACATTTGTCCTCTGGCACCATTTGCACACTCCAACTTTCACAAACAATCCAAACTTTTTTAGACACTACACCATAATTAAAATTAAATAAAAAATTAAAGAAAACATAAAGACAAAAGATTAAAATAAGAATGGGGCAAATTTTTTATAGAGTTTCTCAAATGTACATTTTAGATATCCCATATGGAATGTCCTTAATTGGTAATTCCACCTATTATCAAGAATAATAAACACAAAGAGAATTATATAACAAATTTTTTAAAACAAAGCTTCATCCCTCTCATTCTTATCATCCTGTGTTTTCTTGCTTCAGCAGCTTTGGCTCTGTTACCCATCATCACAAACCTAGTCATCAGATCGAACGGCTGTGGAACCAATGAATCATTAGCAGACACGTTGTTGTTGTTATTAGGAATAACATGTGGGACCACCAGCCTAGGACCCCCATACATCGTCCGATTCACAATGAAAGACTGCTGATATGGAATTTGACCATGCCCTATTTCCAACTCTAGATTTTGGGGTTGACCTCTTTCACGCCAAAAATTTAGCTGTCGAAAAAAAACAAGTACCAAACAAATATAAATAAATAAATAAAAGAAAAAAAGTGAGATAAAAGAGAAAAAAAAAGTGAGATAAAAGTACCTGTTGTTTAAGAGTTAAATTGGTAGCCAATAACTCCTCGTAGTGTCTTTTCACCTTCTCTACCGACTGTTAGATAGTAAAAGAATTTTAGGGTTTTGTTCAAACAATTATACAATAATTATATTCTAATTTGTAAATACTATTCAATTAAAGAAACTCACCTCAGTTAGACATTGTTTGCGCTGAGTTGACTCATTTATAATTCCCAACAATTCTTCTCTTGACTGCAACATAATCAATAAGAAACATTAAGAAATTTCTAGACGCTGATTACACACAGTCACACACACATTGACAGAAGTAAATGTGTCCAAAACAGGGGAGACATTCAAGCCAAAAACCAAGACAAAGAAACTAAAAGGTAGACGAAACCCAGTTTTCGAAAATCAAAGAAAATAAAAACCCTTTTTTTGGAGACGTTCTTGTGCGAAACAGAAAGAGGGAACAAGAAATACCCTTTTTTTGGAGACGTTCTTGTGCGAGTGCTGGGGCCTCTCGCCGGATTCACCGTGTAGGAAAGTCGCCGTACTCGAAGTCTCGACGACAAATTTGGGTCCTCTCTCTGTTCTCTGCGGCGGCCGAGGCAGTGACGGCGACGGTGGCGAATCTAACACCGATCTCCTTCTTTTGGTACCCCACCGCATACGAGCCTCCAATTTGGCTATAAGAATTGGAAAATCGAGCAGTATGTCGGCCACCTCCATCTCGACTTCGTTAAACAAAACTTCATCTTCATCATAGGGAGGAGAGAGAGTGGGGATTGCGCTTTCCATCATCACTTCGCAGATTTCAGAAAAATCTTAGTTGAGAAACAGTGGAAAGTAGAGAGATAAAGAGTAGAAGATGGGAATTTATAGAGAGAGAAAGTGAGATTGAGTTCCTATAAACCAATCCGAAGTAGGACTAAATAGAAATTCATGGAGAGAGAGTACCGAGGCTGATGCCACGTGTCAAGCAGTATAGATGGAGGGTTGTTCTAGGGTTTATGTTATGCTAGTATTTGTTACGGTGTGTGTGGGGGTGTACACTCCTTCTAAGAGACCATACAGCTTTACTGCGTGTGACTGAATTACTTTGACAACAAGTAAATAACTGTCGAATTAAACTTACCAAAATTTCTCTGACCACCACCAAATCTTACGAAATTACCCCCATGACACTACACTGCCTTACAATCTATTCTCTCATTAGAATATAATAATATATATAGAGATGTTGTCCCTCCTGTCCAAATAAAAATAAAAATAAAAATAAAAATATTATTATTATTATTATTTTTTTGCAATTTGTTCAATAATGTATAAAAACATGTTTGGTAAGTAAAATTTTTGAAAGTAAAAATATAAAAATAAATTTGGTAAAAGAAGTGTTAGACTACTCTGGTTAAAAAAGGCCACTGTTACATTATAAAAATTACCAAACGCGACTATTCAATGAAATGTATACATATTACTAATATGGGTGACACTCCTAGAATCGCAATAGTATGCTTCTTACTTCAATTCCATTATTGTTAGTGTAAAATCACTAATTCTCCTTTAAGCTTTAGTTACTAAAATATATTTTGGCATTGGTGATAATTTTGGCTCCATTTATTTTGACGTAAAGAATTTATTCAGTGTTTGAAAGATGTCTAGGTTAAGGTCGAATCCATTAAGTTGAGACATATAAAATAATTTTTTAAAAATTGATAAATAAATTATTTTTATTAAATTTTAATTTTTTTTAAAAAAAATATTTTACGACAATCAAATACTAAAAAAATAAAAAATATATATATTTAAAGAATATCATGGCATTAATTTCCTGTAAAGATGGTGGAGTATTTCGAAGAAATCATCTGCCAATTTCAAAGAAAATAAAAAAGAAGCAGTTTCTTGTTTATACTTTTCTTACTCTCTTCTGTACTGAATGGTAAATAGTGGCCGACATTTCTTCATATCTGATGTGGGACCCACATGTGTCTATATGGTTGGACACGTGTCCTTTTTAAAATGGACACGTCTGATCAATTTGTGAATATATATCAAATTTTCTATCAAGTGGTGAAAAAGAGTGGTGCTCAGTTTGAAACTTTGAATTTAAAAATCTAACGAGATAAAAAACAATAACTTTAGTTTTGTTTGGTTAAGTGGAAATAATTAGAAAAGAAAAGAAAAGAAAGAGAAAATTTTTAAATTTTTTTTAGAGTTTGCATAAATAGAAAGAAAAATTTAATAAAAAATTTAATTTCTCTTATTAAGTATTTTTTCTCAAAAATTTTCTCACGAAAATAAATAAAAGAAGCGCTTATTTATTTGCAATTCATATTTTACCCAGATTAACTTAATCGTGGAAAGTTCTCTCTAAAATAACTTCTATTTTGAGGTAAGTTCTCTTAAAAATAAATTATATATTCTGAGGTAAGTTAGTAAGACAAATTATATAATTATATATGCAGAATATCAATGATAATTTGAGTAACACTACTCAAAATAGATCATGCTTCTAAATAGAATTATTTATTTATTTATTTATTTTTTATTCTATATTGCAATTCTAGCTACTCATAATCATGTATGGATATATATATATATATTTTATATGGTGAAATATTTGATTTTTCTCTCAAATAGTAGTATTGCCTTTTCATCTCTAATTTTTATTTTATTTTTAATTTCTTTATCTTAAACTAATAATTAGTTTTATCCAAAAAATATATATTATTAAGCCTTATTCTAAATATAAATAATATAAATGAGTATAAACAATTATGTATGTGAGTTTAATAATTTATTATTTTATTTTACAATGGTAGTTTTGGTATGCATAATTACTTTCTTTTCACGTTCAGGTTATCTAAACTAATAAATTAATATTTTTCTATAATTTTTTTGGATAAATTTTCATGTTAACCAAATGCATGCTAGAAAATCTCTTTTCTTTTCATTCACTTAACTTTTTATTTTTTTTTTCACTTTCACTTTCTATTTTTTTTTTTTTTTTTTTTTTTTTCATCTCATCTAACCAAACAGGGCCTTAAAGTCCAACTTAACATCGTGTGGGAGATAAGAAAAGGAAGGAGAAGAAAAAGAAAAATAATAGAAGAAAAAGTCTAAAAGAGGAGACATCACCCATAATGTAATGTGTAAAGTATTATTGAGAAATTGATGAAAGTTAATTTTTTGGATAAAATATTTTTTTGTTTTCTTTAAAACTTTTTATATTTTATTTTGAGATTTACCATCTTGCTTGTGTCGTACCCATGTTCCACCTTCCTACACATATGGCTGAGACAATTTGCAAACGTTTTGGTTGTTCCATGTTTGGATTCGGTCAGCTAATCATGAATGCTAATTGTGAGCAAATGAAATAATATATAAATTACATCATCATGCTGTTGATATTAAAATGATAGTGTAATTTAATCAAAAGAAAGGGTATAAAACTATAATTGACTGATACGAAATTTTGAATATATAATTTTTATACAATTTTCTTTCAAATTGTTAGATTCGCGTCTTAATATTTGTGATGATCATAATAAATAGACAAAATACTAATGAAAAGTGTCAACAAAGGAGAGTTCTTATAGTAGGCGTTACTCTAGTGTTTAAGACAATACAACAAAATAGCAGGCTTTTTAGCAACATTAAATATGCAAAATTAATATTAGAAAAAGACTGGTTTAAAAATAAGCTATTCAATTCCAATTTTATAGAATAAAATTTATGCTACCAAACACAGTATGAATAAATTTGAAGTGGTAAATTAGGACATCTCTTCCTTGATTAGCAATACTCCCTCCCGTGTCTAACGGATCAGGATCCTCCCCATTTGTATAATAGTCTATTTCCTCCATTTTTGTGGGTAAAAGTGCATACTAATATTTTCATAAGGTGCATCCTAACATTTTCTTACGGTGCATCCCAACACTTTCTCACGGTGACTTCCAAACATGACTGACGTGACCATTTTTGGGTCACTTGTTTCAAAATAGAGCAAATGTGTATTATTTCACTGGAGGTGATTTTCACCTGTGTCTAACTTACTTGGGAGAAAGAAAAAAAAAAGAAAAAAACCAAAATCGATTAAAATTTGAAAACATTGGAGAACTCTGTCATAAGCACTGTTTCTTCAATTTTCCTATTCCAATACTAATCCACCCTTGATCAACAATGTGAAAAATTATAATTCAAAAAACATACCTTAAAAAATTAATTGCGTATATATATATATGTATAATTATACATACGAAGGGCTAAAATCATAAAACTCCCCCCTTGTTTCAAAAAACGTTATACAACCCCCTCAATTATTAAACAACCTCGTAAACTAGCAAAAATTATCACGTTAATCCATTTCCGTGACGGACCGTTACGTTCTTGCAAAATGATTGGTGATACGATCCCTAAATAGAGAGGTGGGATGATATGATAGACTTCTTCAAACATGAAGAGATAATATGATAGTTTCTTTAGTTTGAGGAGTTAATTAATAGTTTTTGAAAATAAGAGGGGGTTTTTATAATTTTAACCATATATATATATATGAACTCCTTGATTTATTGTAATAATTAGTTACATACTGCATCTATTTAGAACTTCCCTTCCTGGAAGGCGACGATGGAATACACCGGTACAGTTCCGGCAACGCTTTGGCCTCGGCCACCTCACGTTCTTCTTCGTTGAAGAAATAGTTCGAAGCCATTTTCGTTCTCTGATTTATCGACTCAAAAAACAAATTTTTTGGAGTACTCGGCTAATCTTTTACGTGTGTATATACACACACACACACACATATATACTTATTGAAAGCTTCCATGGTAGTGAGAGGGATTTTTTTCCTTTTGGAAGTAGGATTTCAAACAGCTATTTTTATCCTACCGTGCAAACTGGGAGTGACTCTAGTTAGAGTCCAAGTTTATGTAATCTTCTGTGTATAATATATATATTACTATATTATTTCTATCCTCCATAAAAATAAAAATAAAAATAAAAATAAAAATAAAAGTCACTTACTGGTTTATATTGTCCATGGAGTTCAAAAGGCAAAGACATAATGTAACATGTTAGTAGTCCAAACACCATGAAAATAAGAGACAACTAGCAAATGCTGATAAAACTAAATTAATCTACTCTTTTTTTCTTTGTTACTTTCTTTGCAGAGCTAGTAAAGTCATCATCTGATTCATCACTGCTCTTGCGCTTCTTGGACTGTTTGGATGCAGTTTTAGAGTCCGGTGTCTTCTTTTTCTGGGAAGCAACTGGGGAGGATGTTATTTTCCTCTTGACAGTAACAGAGTGGGTGCTTTTCTTTACAGTAACAGAGTGGGTGCTTTTCTTTACAGTAACAACAGCTTTCATTGGCGATGAACCAAGCCTTTGCTGTTGAACTTTTTTCTGTTTCCTCTCAAAAATCTTTTTCGCCAACTCCTTGGAGAGCAAACCGGACTCCATCATCCTGCAATTACATTAAGAGACGAATAAGTGCTTGTTTAGAAGCTCGTAACAAGGCATAGCATGCAAAAAATATAATTCCATAAATAAGAAGCTAATCTTCCAAATCTACATCTAAGCAAAAGACGATATACCGCAATAGGAGAATTAAACTTGTCCGAATTTTGTTCAACATAATAATCATCTAGGCATGAGGTGACTCACTAGTGTACAAGAGAGCGAGAAATCCTAAAGCATGGATATTCATTTAAGCCATAAAAGATGTCCACAGATTTGGATCAACTTAATCTTTCACTTGTCGAATATCTAAATCGTTATTGAAATGGTAAAGATTTGGGTTCACATGTTAAGAAACCAAAGAGCTACAATGGCTCCAAAAAACTTTAACATGATTAAATAGGGTGGGATTCATGGGCCATGCACCATGCCTACATAGGTGTAATGAAAATTTTCTGAACATCTCCCGAATACAGATAACACTGCCAAGAAATTGGAAACGTGCAGGCAAAATGATGTTGGTAAGAGTGACCGGAAGTGAACAAAAAGTGGTCCAAGGTAAAACTATTTAGAGACCATAGAACAAAATTGAGCATATGATCATATAGGTCTATTACCAACTGAAGAAAATGGTCAGTAATAAAACATGATATACTGATATAGGAACTAAGAGAAGGATCAAAGAAGAAAAATATCATGTCCACCCTTGATGTGACAATCAGATCAAGTATTTTTGTTTTTCGTTTTGAAGTGGAGTGGCTCTGGTTTGAGCAAGTGAGGAGCAAAGTCAAAATTCAAGGCTATAATTGTTGTAAAAACATGTATATACACATGTATCAAATAGTCCGCAAGTTGTATGTGATATGAATAAGGCAGGACACCCTGGACTCGACTGATGAATAAAAACTAATATAACCATAGCACGGAAAAGACATTTTGACAATTTAAGTGCACCAAAAAATCTTTTTCATGCAATTTAAATGACCACCATAAAACAAGAAAGTGCTAGCCCAGTGCACGAGAATATCCCTGTTGAGGGTCAGATGTACACAACCTTATGTTTCTTGTTTTGAACCCGTGACCTTTTAGGTCACAATGGAGCAGCCATACCATTGCGTCAAGGCCTGGTCTCAATTTCTTTAAATACTGGTGATTAATTTTTTCTGAAAAAAGAATAATTTAATGGTGCATCCCACCTTGATTGCACTTTTGATGATCCAACAATTGTAAGGAAACTGTCATATGTTGTCTTTTTCAATCTTGCATTTCATAATCAAAATACAGAATTTGTAACCAGGCTACCCTCACTTTCATGGAAGAACTAAGAAACATGCATGTTATGAATGAAAATTGTAAGAAAGGAGAAAGAATGTACTCCACAAGATATGGGTCCCAACTGGGCCATTAGAGATTATACTAGTGACCATCAGAAATGGATTCTTCCTCACAGTTGGTACTGATCAGGCACCATGCATCAAAAGAGTAAAAGATAAAGGCCATCACCCACTCGTCTGCCTATGCACAAGGGTGGATCTAAACTTTTATTTGGAGGGGCCGAATTAGTAATATGTTTATAAAATTACAAAAAACTCTTAGAGAAATGTTAAGTATATTATTTATAGCACAAAAGATATTTCATCAACCCGCTAAGAGCATAAACTGAAAAGATGAATGAAGAATGACGATAGGGGTAATTATATGGAATTTTTTACCTTTCCTTTAAAATGTGGGCTTTTGTAAACAGGACCTAAAATGGCTCAAATTGAGGTTATTTATAAGTTTTGTAGGGGCCATATATTAAATTCTTTTTACCAATTTGAAGTTCACTATAAATTTGCAGGTGGGAGACATGGCTGTCCCATTTAGTTCAGACCCTGCCTATGCAAGATGCTGAGAGCGGTGAACAAGATACCAAAAGCCAATAAAAAGAGAAAAAACAATAAGGTTGCTGCACTTCAAGTCCTGGAATCTTATTCTGTGAAGAAATAATAAGGTGAATTAAAGAAGTTTAGTGGTGAAATTTACTACAAACTCTGCATGTAAGACTTTAATGGCAATTCTTTAGTGCAGCAAAGTCAAAAAATTACAGGACAAGTGTAACAACTCAAGAAATTAACCATGATAACTGCCATGATTACACTAATGTCGTTGGAAAATTTTCCAGTTAACAAATATAAGCACCGAAAAGGTGCGCGTTTTGTGTATATGGTGTTCTGCAATAATATATACCATGCAACAATAAACAAATAATTTGCAGCAGAAAATGAAAATAACAATTCAATCATGATGGTAAGCACTAAGCAGATTTCAAGTAATTAGCTTAAGAAAAGTTCCATTTTTTTTTTAATTAAACAAGTAAATTCACAAAAAGAAGATGCCAATCTTAAACATGATGGGTTCGACCAAAAAGTTTTGCTCTAAACTACAACTTATGTTAGTAGTGATATATGGATATTAAACTTCTCGTGTGTCTGGTAAAGCAAATATATAATTGTTGTCCAGTGCTAATCACAAGTCAAGTTTGCTGGTAACATATGCTAACAGTGTTTTTGGTTGTCCTATGGATATTTGACATTGTTGCATTTTATTAGGCATTTGAAGATAGAAATTAACTCTGCAAAGTGACGCTATTTAAAAAAGATAAATCATCTCACAGTTGCTGGTATGTGATAGGCTTTTGATTTTCATAAAATGCCATATGTTCCAATTCTTAGGGATACATGTCTAATGGCTTTCATCTACTGTAACAACTCGTCCAGGATGATGGATTCAAAAACGAAGATAACATATAGAACACAATAAGCACAAAAAAACGGAATACATGTCTAATGGCTTCGATTGGATTGGCCACCCCCTTTCTAATTTCTCTAGAGACGGTTTGCCAGGCCTGTGCTCAGGTTACTTGAGTTTCTTAGGGTTAAAATCACAAAAAAATTAAAAAGAAAAAAATAAAAAATAAAAAATAAAAAATCATGCTATGCAGGTTTGCCTAAAAGGTCATAAAAACCCCTAGACTATAAAAAAATTGATTAAAACAGTCCAATTCATGACAGAACTGTTAATAGCAATACAAAATGACCATTATGCCACATTTCATTTCAATAAAAAAGCAACAAAATGTTCAAATGTGAAAAGACACAGTAATTCAACATATGAATCGGTGTTGGGGTTTAAAGTTAAAACAAGTAAACGACCCTCTCACTCTCAGCGTCATATTGAAGCACATCTCTCATTCACTGATCTCATATTAACAGGCTATAAACTGATGCCTAAGGCAAGGATGCAAGTGGGCAAGAAATTCACCAGAGTTGATAATTTTCATTTGACCAGTAAACCTCTCTCCAAACCTCTCTCCAAAAGGGTTTCAGGGAAACATAGGTCCCAGCTACATATGTGTGTGTGTGCACGCTGTGTTTGTGTCTCTGTGTGAGAGATTTTTTTTTTTTTTTTTTTTCCAAGTTTTAACGGCTGTGAGAAGCTGGATGGGGAGCAAGTGCTAAAAGGCCTCCATTTTAGTGATGTAAGTGGTTGCAAGAGGAGAGAGAGAGAGAGCAAGAGAAGAAATTTACCTTTGGCTGCACAATAGAGTAACAGCATGGGTTTTGGTCGATGCTAGTGGAAAATGATTTTTGACCGATTTAATGTGTAAGTAGGTGGCAAGGGTAGTTTTTTTCTTCAAAAGGGCATTTTGGCCTCTAAATGCATAAGATGTGGCATATGTTCTGCTCGTGATGGCTCTTTCCGTTACTTTTTAACATCAAACAAACAAACAGGTAGGGGTCCTTGATACATCTTTCAAAAGTTCAGGTAATTATTTGACAAAAATATAGTACAAGGGGTTACATGACACAAATTTATAGTAAAAGGGGATTTTGTGATTTTAACCCAAGTTTCTTGTGATTGATTTTTGTTAAGTAGCATTAGGTATATCATTAAGACCCTAAATATACATCAAAACTCAACAAAGGAAGAAAGTTCACATTTTACACTTGCAGCAGATCAATAAATGCCAAAATCTCTGGAATAAAACACAAGAAAACAATTCAGTTACCATGTGAAATCTAGATGTGCCCATGGGTTTGTTATCTTACATTATCTGGATGTTTTAGACTAAAGCAATAAAATAGCTTAGTTTCCAACTCCCTGAATTGGTTTACACTCCATCCACGTGACATGATCCAATAAATTATTTGATAGTGCAGTACTCCAGCAATTTCTAAGTTTAAATCTTTATCCAATTCTTCTCAACTGTTCAAACAAATGAGGTGAAACAAGTAATATTTGCAGTAAGGTCAATACTAACTAGCTTGGCAGTATTTTCACATCAAGGGATGTTTCCTTTTAATTTGTTTTCTTAACCCTGTCTTTGGGCTAATTGTGTTCTTTTCATCATTTTCTTGGGTTTTCCAGTCCCAAGTGTCATCCCAGTTTTGTCTCAGCAACATTAAAACCCTACAATCCTCGCAGAAGCTCGGAAAGGGAGAGAATGTTTTTACAATTATACTTCCAATTGATAATAATGAAGTAATGTGGTACACATCAGCCAATCCACGTTTACAGCCAACAATGGTAATCAAGATTTCCCTTGCCCACCAAGTAGCAATTGAATAAATGAATAGAAACCATTGGTCCAATAAAAAAAGCACAAGAAGAGCAGATTGTTCACACTGCAAATGTACGATAAAAAAGTTGTTCATTTCATTTCGGAGAGAGCGGGAGGAAAACGATTTCTTACCAGAAAGCTGCCATTTCGCTCTCAGGTACTTGCTTATACAAAGTCTCATAGAAAATCCTCAATGGGTCTCTCTGCAATTCAAAAACCTCAAACCAATTAGTCAATAGTATATGCATAATAATAAACAAGCACACTAAACAAAATTAGCAAGAAAACATACTTCCTCAGGAGGGTCTCGTTTCTGACCAGGCAAATCATACACCTTTTTTTCCCTCTTCTTACCATTCTGCTCAGCTTCTTTGGCACCTTTAATTTTTTTCTCCTCCTCCTTTTTCTTCTTCTTTTTCTGCATCAACAAACCCAACCCAAAACAGGAAATAAACCAAAAACCAAGAAAACCCATTATTTAATAACAAAAAAATCAAGCTAAAAATGAAGAGAAATTACTTTAGTTAAATGTTTGGAAAAGCCAAGAAAAACCCGTTATTTAATAACAAAAATCCAAGCTAAAAATGAAGAGAAACTAATTTAGTTAAATGTATGTATCACAAACCTTATCAGTCTTGTCCAAGCTCTTCTTAGCCGTGGACTGCTCAAAATCCTCATCAGCTTCTTCTTTCTTCACCTTTTTAGCTTGATTTGGAGAGCGAGATTTGGGAGTAGCATTCTTGGGTTTCTTCTTGCGGCTTTCAAGAACAGAACTGAGGCTCTTATCATCCTCTTCGTCCTCAACCTCCTCTTTCTTCACGAGCTTTGAATCCTCGGAGGGCATTCTGTGATATATATCAGAGTAGGGATAAAATTGGAAGAAAAACCACAGAAAATGAACTTGGTGATGATACTGTGCAAGGTGAGGAGGAGAGAGAGAATCGAAGAGAAAGCGAGGGTTTTTGTGAGGAAAAAGAGAAACCTTTCGATTTTCTAGAGAGAGAAAAAAAGGAATCTGGAGAGAGAAAAAACATAATCTGAAACCCAAAAAAGAAAGGCCGAAACCAATTCAGTTCATACCAGCCCAGCCCAGCCCATTTATGTCAGTTCTCGACCTCCACCTGCTCGAAAGTCCAATAAGCCCAGTCTATTTACAAAAAGCAAAGAGTTTATTAAATTTAATAATAATTTGGAGATGACATTCTAAAACGATTGAGCCATATCCCTGTGACTTGTGAACTTAGTGAAACAAATAATCAAAAACTCTATAATCAATGGATTTTTATTAATTTTTTAAAGAGTACTAAAATGACATTTACACCTGGTTTGAGAGTTACCTTCACAAAAATTTCAAGAATAAATATAGGTCCAATTAAAAAATTTAATATAAGGGTTGAGTTTAATGTGAGCTGAGTGTGAAGTTGAGGTGTAATTAATTTGGTTTAATTATAAATTAAAATTGCCGACAAAGAATCTTTGTTGAACTCTATTCATTGGAGTCGCTGTAAAAAAAGAGAGTAATGATGCTTGCACCTAATGAATTACCTAATGAAAAGTTTCTAATTAGTTATTTATGTACAATACAAATAAGTAGATACTAAATTGACAATTACTTTCAATTTACTGTCATTTTTTTTTTTATTTAAAAAATAATAAATTTCCTGCCATTCGAGCAAGCCTTTACAATAATATTGCTCCAATTTTATTTTATGCATGTTGATATGGTCAAATAAACATGTTGCTCCAAGTAGTGATACTCTCACACTGAAGAATAGTCTAATAGAATAATTTTTAATTAATTATTTATACTAAATATAAATAAGTGGAGGCCTTCATTCTCATATTTATTATATAAATGACTAATTAAAAACAACAAATTTAATAATTTACTACAACTATTTTATGTAAGAATCATTTTCATATATATAAAAATCATTTTCCTTATTTGATAAAAGAATCATTTTCATATATATAGAATCATTTTCATGTATATATATATATATATATATATATATATATATATATATTAACACAACCAACACTTTCGGTGATGAAATGGTAAAGAATATATTCCTTAGTCTTTCCATCACTTAATTAAATTGGCAACTTGCTGAATATTGAGCATGATTGAATTCGGAAAAGAAAATTTGCATGGTTGGCAAGAATCCACAGCCATAGAATTTATGCCAAAGCAATTCAAAACACCCTTCATTAATTCTTCTTTACATATATATGTGTATATATATATATATATATATAGATACACACACACACACACTATAACCCAATCCTCACTTCCATCACAAATTAGCGCGCGCACACATATCTATATAGATAGATATATAGAGAGTGATGGGTTCGTTCTTGAGAGAGAGAAGGGGGCCACGATGGAAGCAAAGCTGGGCAGAGTACACCCTTTCTTCAATATCTGCACCTCCCATGCCATTACTAGCCTGCCTTGGCATAGTTATTTTTTTATGGTCTTTGCAAACCTTCTCATACTACCAGGTGCAAATGGAGAAAACCAAGATCAAACTGAGGCTACTTCTCTTCCTCTTGCCTGTGGTGGCGATCCTTGTCGCGCAATCAATAATCATGCTAAACAGGAGGTTTGTGGTTCGAGTCGTTGGTGATCCGCGTAACCGAGCAGGTGGATTCCCTTGGGGTTTGGCCTTGGCGGTAGGGCTGCTTCTGGTTTTGGTCTACTATCAATCCTCTGTACATTCCAAATTTTTTAGGTTTCTTTAGAGATCACATTTTATATGGTTCATCATATACTACTACTGTACATGAAGAGCGCGCACACACACACACACACACACACACAGATATATGTTTGGTATCCTAGGGAGAGGAAGTACAATATTAGTTTCTACTTTGTTTTGTTAGAGTTTATTATTATTAATAATCATGAGTTTAGTTTGTGATGGTAGTTTTCTTTAATACTTTTGATGATGTATTTAATTATTACAATATTAATTAGTACTCTTACCTTATTTACTCAGCCTAAATTGTAGAATTCACAAAATAGATAGAGAGCAGAAAGTTATTGCAAAGTATTTAACAAAACTGGAATGCCATTGCCAAAATTTTCAAAGCTCATCTTATCAGTGCATTGATATCTTATTTACAATTTACAGTCTTGGAAGATCCAACAATAGAACAATTATCATTCTTGCCATCACACATATTACATGGAAAAACATCAATGCTGAAACAGATACATAATAAATTACATGATAGATGCATGATACAAAACTACAGTCAAACGTATACACGTATGAATAGCAGCCCGCCCGGAGAGGATGCCAGAGGGGGGAGGTTAAGTTACTAACGGAGACGAATTCTTCAATTTAGGAACCTTGAAAGTGGACGAGAACAATTTTGCAGTTTCTGAAATGGGAATGGTGTCAACTGCTTTTCTCTTTGAACTTTTGCATCCCTATAAAAAAAATCAAGAATTGAAGTTACATAGTACGTACGTACAAGATGTATTCTTTCACCTCATTTACTTTCTTGCAATTAAAAAAACCATTTAATACTTTATTATTATTGATAGAAATATGAAAAGAATATGTAGATTATGGTCTAACTTTAGATTATGCATTGCCAACTACCAAACAAGCGGTACATCACAACACCAAAACATTGTTAGATTCGGTACCAGATTTAACCCAAAACTTTTGTCATGTTCAGCTTTGTTTGAAAGGGACGAGGATTTGGGTTTTGGAAAGGAATATCTTCTACTTACCAGATTTAACCCAAAACTTTTGTCATGTTCAGCTTTGTTTGAAAGGGAAGAGGATTTGGGTTTTGGGAAGGAATATCTTCTACTTACTGAGTGAGTGATACAAATTATCTGTGCAAGTCCAGCAAAATAGATCTTCCAACATGTGGGATTTTCCCCCTCTTATCGAATTATTCAGTTCCTTAAAAATTAATTATTAAACTTCAATGACATTCCAAAAACAAATTTCATTTTTTTACACTGTATCAACAACCCTGACAGAGACAATGAATAGAAAAATAAGGTAATAACCTAAAAGCAACTACTAACCCTACGGAAGTGTCCTCCAACCTTTAACAGAATCAATCATCAGGTAGACAGGGTTTATATTTTACAACAGACCCAATATCAATCTTACAGAGGCTTAACCCTAGATTCACCGCAATATTTTCCCAGTAAGATCATAATAACTCTAGTACATTAGTAAAAAAGGATAGAGCCAAGATGAGATCCAGAAAATTATATCTTACTATACCCACATGCATAAGAGACCATATTAACTATCCTAATCTTATTGAGGGCTTAATTATAGAATTTTCACTAAGACCACAATCACTCTAACATACTAGTAAAAAAGATTAGAACCAAGATGAGATATAGATAATTTCATATGAAAAATACGATCACATCCATGATGTCTAACATGGACAATACACATTTTATGAGGTCCATGTGATAGAGCAAGAGACTCCACTGATCTGAGACAAGAATGTAAGCTGAAGCCAAACTGTTCATGCAACCGGCAATACTGATTCAAAAAGTAAGTTGCAAGCAAATCTTGGGGGATAAAAACCAGTAATCAGTGCACTAACCAAGCAAACAAAGTTTTACCAGTAAATTTTCCAGGCAAAAAAAAATCTGCAAACATATTTCAACATAAAAACTATAAAACAGAAAAATTCTTTGCAAGTTATAACAGAAACCAATTGTATGGAATTAATAATATCTCCAGACTGCCACTGATTATCTAAAAATGAACCAACTCAAGAAAAAAGATAGTTATTTAGCGTTGCATCATTAAAAACTAATTCAAATCCAACTCTGAAGTCGTGATTAATGAACAAATACCTTTTCAGAATCCTTCAGACGATCAGGGTTTTGTGGAGGATATGATTCTTTCTTCACATTGATATTCCGCCCATTTGTGTCACTGTTCTTGCCTCCCAACCGAGACGTTCCTTTCTCTGCTGTGCAACGACGTAATACAGGTGTAACAGAATCAGTTCTAGATTTTCTCAAGGACACCAATTCCCTGGAAAGTCTGGAAATTTCTTCACTCTTTTTAATTGAGTCTGCCTCCAATTGAGCTATATCAGTTTTAAATTTTACAATTATATCATCCTTTTCACTCACTGACGACTGCATTTTCTCCATGGCAGTGAGAAGTTTCTCTATCTTCTCATTAGCCTGTTCAATTTCAGTGCACTTACTCCTTAGCAGTTCAGTTTTTTCCCTCTCAATCCTATTATACTGGTTCCACACAAATTTATTCTCTGACAAGAGAGCAGACACCTCAGAAGTGTTCTTTGAAATAAGCTTCTCATTTTCAGATTTTAGCATCCTCAATTCGTTTTCCAATGCCTTATAATTCCTCCCTTTGCCCTTAATATCAGAAGTCTTCGACATATCCTGCAAACCAATTGAAAGGTCACAACTCCTATCAAACAAGAGATCCACAAAGAATATATTAAGTAATGCAGTCAACATACATTTAGCGTGGAGCATTCACTAGATAGATAGTGAAACCACTCTTTAAAGTCTGCCAATTCACCTCCCGTATCTTCTGCAGTTTTTGGAAGAGAAAAGATTGTGCAACAATTAGATTATGCATAATAAAATATTAATCCCTCAATCATTATCTCACTCTCCCACTCCTCCTCCAAAAGAAGAAGAAGAGGAAAAGAAAATTAGAGTTTTAAATCCTATTTTTCCCCATTATGACATCAAAAGAAAGTTTTACAACCTTTTAAGTGGAAAGAACAAATGTATGAAGAATTCAAACTGTATATCAAATTTATAGGAGTTTTGGTGAGATTTATTAGAATTCAATAGCGCAATCAGCCATCAAATTTAATTGGGTTTTAGTCAGATTTCTTAGAATTCAATAGTGCAGTCAGCCCTTAGCCAAACATGAAGTGATGGATTTTATAGGTGGCAAGTAACACACGCACATATAGAGAATTTTCAAGGTTTTTTTTCTTTAATAGAAAAATCTTTTCTTTTGAATTTTATTTTTTGGTTAATTTCAACACTAAATCAGTCAGGAAAGAAGTTAATATGTTTGTAAATCTAAGAAAATAAAGAAAGTAAAAGCCTCAAATTGGTTAGGAAAAAGGATAAAAACCCTAAATCAGGAGTAGTAAGAACTAACCTAAAAACACCTAATTCAGAAGAAGAATAAAGAACAAACCTAACTTAAGCTTGTTAACAAAAGCCTCCCTCTGCTTCAAACCCAGAACCATATCCGACTTTGCGGCATCAACAACGCGTTCCATATCTTGCACCACCAAATCCCTCTTCATCTACAAATAATTTCAAAGAAAAACATTTCAAAATCTCTCAGAAACCCTAGAATCAACAGTAACTCAAAACCCTAATTGAACGTATCAACATAATTCAGGACAGGGATTACCTGTGAGATTTGATCGTATTGCAACTTAATTCGATCTTCGAGGAGTTTTCTCTCACTCGTTAGAGATTCGACCTGCGTTTGTTGTGTCTGTAACATGTGTACGAGAGCGTTGAAAATTTTCTGCCATTTTTGAAGATCGGAAGAGACGTTAGAGGCTTTGAGTGTGCCCATCGCGCGGAGTTTTTGTAGAAGAGCAATTGAAGAAGAAACAACCGGTTCAAATCTTGGAAGAATATTAGGAAAGAGAGTATAGCCGTTGAATTCGAAAATGGCACAACGGTCGACTGGAGTGCGTTTTGTAAAACCCCAAAGAGAAACCGACTCTCGACTACACACACTACGTTTTTTGCTGTGTGTGTCACGTGACTAACGCATGGTAACACGGAGACGGTAACATGTACTCCATGACTCAAATGTATGTGCGACAATTATTAGGAGTATGAGGAGTCCATTTATATAGTTATTAGGAGTAGAAAATAGAAGGATTTATTTATTTATTTATTTTTTTCAAAAACACTTTCTTTAATGAAATTTTTTAGCAAGTAAATTTTTTACTCTCTCCCTTTTCTATATTTCCTTTTCAACTATCGTATAACCGTACTAATTAGAGAAGATTTAATATATGTTATAAATAAAAAATAAATTAATATACGGAGTACTAAAATTCATTAATGTATTAAAAATTTTCGTATAATATATTGAAACCCTTCGCACTTTCAATAATATATAATTACTTTGATTTGTCTAATCCACCTAAATAAAAAGTTAAAAATTGAGTTCTTAGGACAATAAAAAAGTATTTATGTAATTATTTGCTAATAAATAAATAATAAATGAGAGTTTCTTTATTTACCTTAAAATATTAATTGTGAATGTTATTTTAATCACCTTGAAAAATGAGGTTTTTATGTTTAAAATGGAAAAAAGCGGATGCCCAAGTGTATCTTACTTATTCAATGATAATAGCAGCAACTGCAGTTTCTTCTTTTTCACGGGATTCAAAATTAAAGTAATTGTGGAATAGTAGAGATTTCACTAAAAATAGAAATAAAAATGAATTGACAGAATAGTAGAGATTTCACTCTTAACAAGTTTATTTATTTATTTATTTTTTGGGTTCAGCCTCGTGGTTTTAAACCCGACTGCCAATGCCAAAAATTTCCAATCGCTTCTATCAGCAAAAAAATATTAAATACCTCCGAGTATGGTACTCTGAAGTCATTCATCTATCAAATGTTATGAGATTTATTACTATATTCATGATCCAATGACTTTTCTGTCCTCATACATACCCGGGCATTGATATCTTATTTAAAGTCCTGAAGATCCAACAAAAGAACTATGGTTCGCGCTATGATATACATAGAAAAACATCAAATATGAAATAGAGCAATAAATGACATGATGGAGGCACAAAAAAAAAAAAACAGTCGACACACGTATAGAAGTAAAAGCAGATACATAAATTACATGATAGAAGCAAAATACCATTCATCAAATCTGCAACAGATACTTAAATTACATAATCATCCTTGGAAGAAACTAAGAATTGAAGTCACTAATATTCAAAGAAGGTTGATATTGGTGTTATGACCAGGGGCACAATGTAAAAATAAAAAAAATAAAAAAAAATAATCACGACAATATATATAGATTCTATAAATCAAGAGATAAAAGAAGAAAAATTATTCAAAATAATATATCAATCAATGAGTAATTTAAGAAAGATAAATAATTAACAAAAAATTTAAAAAGAAAAGAAAAATGAGAATTTTGAAAGGGAAAAAAATTGTAGTTTGATTCAAAAAAGAAAAATTTGACTTTTTTTTAAAGGAAATTAAACGAATTTAAAGAATAAAAAGAGAAGAAATACAAAATTTAAGAGATAATTTTAGAAAACAAAAATTTTAGAGGGGCATTATATGAATTTTTTTTATATATACATGTAAATATATATAAAATTAGTATATATATTATAGTAAGCGGGGCTAGGCCAAGGGCATGTGCCCCCCTTGGGCATACACTGGCTCCGCCACTGGTTATGACAAACGCAGCTAATCAATTAACAATTATGAAACTTGATAGAGGAATAAACACACCATACAAAGAACACAAATATTTATACATGATTTGACAAAGCTTACTTCTACGGTGGAAATCGAGCAAAATCCTTCATTATGTCTAAAATCATATAACCAGTTTTAGTCCCTCAATCTCTATATATACGATTTTCAGTGTCTCTTTGTTAGGAATTTAGCAATTCTGATGTTGCAATTGACAAGTTTTGTCGTACAAAACTCACTCTTGTAATTTAATAATTAGATAATTAATGAGTGAGATAGAAATAGATTAGGTAGATGATTTAAGATTAAAATTGCTAGGAGGAAACTACATCAAAGGGCAATAAAATTCAAGATCTTCAACAAAAAGGTAAATCAGCAAAGAACTACAATAATGAGCAATTATTCAAAGTTCTATCTCAAAGGGCAAAATAGTCTAAGAACCAATGCAAGGGCAAAATAGTCCAAAGTTCTACTACAAGTTAGTCTAGAACCATTGAGAGGCAAAATCATCCAGATTTCCATAGAGAGGGGCATAATAGTCCGAAAATCAACTTCAAGAGTAAATATGTATATTCTCTCAAGTATGAATTTCAAAGTTAAGAATCAAACTTGAATATCATCCATCACCGTTTAGATTCATGCATAAATATTATTGATGATCAAATGCTCTTAAGTGCATGGTAATTCATATGGTAATTTATTTATTTAAATATATATATTTTGAAAAAAAAAATGTTAAGGATAAAAACATATATATTATATTTAATTTAAGTTTCTAGAGCTTTTTACTAAATATATATATGTGTCATATATATATTTTCCATAAATATATAGAATGTCAATATTGCTCAAGTCAAATTTACCAAGAGTGCTAGTACTTTCTGTGATGACCCGTAATTTTTCGTATTAAAAAAAAAAATAACATTTTATTTTATGAGAAAAAAATACATTTTGCATGATAGTATTTCTCACGTGAGTATTGACTTTGATTTGATTTTGTGGAATTTTATTATTATTATTGTGACCCGTAATATAATTGTTACCAATTAATTTATGAAGTAAATTATATGTTGAACGTAGGTGTATTGATGTAGATAGTTAAAGGTGTTCCAACTTTCAATAAAAGTAATACACGTCTATATATGTACAAATTATATATATAAATTAAAATACTAGTTGTGTGTGCATATAGATATATATTCACACGTAAAGAGGTAAAATTATAACATTCATGGATAAACTAGCAATAAGTATAGACAGTGGGTTGCAATAAGTATAGACAGTGGGTTGCAATAAGCTAGAAATTTAAATAGGAATCTGATCCGTTGCTTTCTCAATGAATAAAACAAAAGGGCCTTTTGATTTGTCAAAAATAAATGCGACTTTTCAATTGGGCTCATATCAGTTAAAGAAAAATGGATATGAATTGGAGAATTTTTTTGGGTAACAAAGGGAAGGATTTAAGGAAACTGAGGTAGGGGATTTTCTCTGCATTTATATATGTTTGTAGATAGAATGAGGATAAAATTGTAGAAATTAAATTTACTCTAAGTTTATATATATTCATATAGATGGAATTAACTAATTAGATTAAAATGATAAATTTATTTGAAGAAATCTGTTTCCTTTTTCTTTAATCATTTACCGGTATAGGTATGTATACATGACTCTCCTAATATATTTCTTTTTTCTTTAATTATATGATAGTATATGGATGTATACATGACTTTCTTAATTATTTGTTTCATTTTCTTTAATTATTTGGTAATATGCTTATGTTTATATAATTCCCTATGTTTATATAATATGCTTATGGTAATATATATATATATATATGGAATATATATAATTAATAATGTTACACTTAGCTTTCAGTTTACTAGATACGTGTGGGTATATATATATAAATAAATAAAAGAGAGAATCAATTGAGATGGTTCTACAATAGTATTGGTAAATTAGTGTAAACTACTATGGGAGATTTTAGCCCTTAACATTTAATTGTGTCTATTAACATTGAAGATGACATATTGCAATTATTATTGGATTATGTGTGTGTGTGTGTGTATATATATATATATAATAGCATACTATAAATAATATGAAAGAAATCTTATGAAAGAAATCTTAGTGCATATATATATACACATATATATTTTTCTAACTACTTCAAATTTGTTAAGTGCATTTTGTATTTGCTTAAGAATCAATTTTTGCACTAAATTCATTGTTGGCATGCATATTTGAAATGGTCATTCATAACTTGTTTTTGTCAGGCTATGAATGATATGATTTTCTTGTTAAGAGAAACAAATAAGAAATATATTTTGTTTTGAGCAAGAGTTTTTTTTTTTTTTTTTTTGGTTAAATGGGTGAGCTTTTATAAATAAATAGAGAAAAATACTGTACAACAATGACCACAAAGCAACACGAGCTATTACATGATCAAAATCAAAAAAGGGAAGAAGCCAAATCCAACTGTCAAAACAATCAGACAAAATCAACTTGGTAAGCTTAGGAACTTGAACTCAAAGCCAGGAATCAGTGGAGCCACTGACAGCACCCATAGACAATAAAAGGACGATAAACAAAGCATCCACATTTAGTTGGTAACTGGACTGTAAAAGAGCAAATGAATATGCTGCCAAAGAGAAACAACACAACCTTACTGAAGTAGTTGATGTAGATCCTACATTAGGTCAATTCTTTAAAGTCTTCACTCCAACATAGGTTGATTGGGGCACCTCCTTAAGGTAAATGAAAATGTTGTCCTAGGGAAACCGCACAACCTTGCTGAAATAACTGTTAAAGATCCTCCATTGTGCCAATTCTCCTCAAGTCTTCACTCCTTCTTAATTTGATTGAGGCAAGTCTTGTCTTAACACAATTTCTGATTGCTCTGATGAGGATGTGAGGAGGGGATGACTTGTTCTTGAATGCCCTTGAGTTCCTTTCTTGCCAAATGAAATAAATTGCAACTGACAGAAGGAACTTGTGAGTGGTAAAGTCACCATGTTTCCAGAACTTTGAGCACCAATCAATCAGACCAGTCCAGCATCTTGGCAATATATAGAAACCTGCAACATTTTGAATGAAGTTCCAAATGGCACTGCTGTAATACCCCTAATTTTAAAAGAATAGTCTCGGTATTTATTTATTTATTTTAATTGTATTTTTTTAATTATTTAATTAATTATTTGACTAATTACTTATGTGTTTAATTGAATTAAGTATTACTTGATTAATTGTAAATTAAATATTTTCTTTTCTTTTATTATTTTATTTTATTTTTCTTTTATGGTTATGGTTAGTAGTAATGGGCCAACCAATTAGGTCCCATGGACTAC